TGGTACCTTTGGCTTCCCCACTCAACTCTCCCCTCTCAGATTTCCCTCTCCATCCTCCTCTCAATTCCCTCTCTTCCCCTCTCACCGGTTCCTTCCTCATACCAGGCGAGTCAAATGTCCCTACTCTTTATCTTGGAGGAGACAGGCTTGAACATAATTTATCAGTTGTAAACATTGCTCGGAGGTGCACTATAGAAGCGCCTTGTTCCCTTCGAAAAGCTGGAGAGAGCTGACTCGATCTTCAAGAATTTCATGTATCCTTCCACGGCAGATCATGAAAGGTGATTGGCAGTAGATAAGTGCCAAGTCCTTATTGGCCCTAGAGAGCCAACCTCAGGCCTAGTGTTAAATAGTTGGCCATTGCCAAAATAATGGGTGGAACCCTGGGGCTGTATTAGATGGTGGGAGGAGCAATCCTTTCCACCGGTAAGCTGGTAAAACTAAATTTTGGCAGTGTGTCTTGGGAGTGTGTTGGGAATAGGGACTCGGGCCCGCATCCAAAGGGGCTGAGGGCAGCAATCAACATCTTGGCCTCAGTGCGGTTTTAAGGTATTGTGCACTTGAGTATTAATGTCCCTGGTAGATATCCACTTTGCCTCTGTAGGTCATAGAGTAGGGTATATGTTCATTTGATTTCAATATATGTGTTAAATTTATTTAATTTAAATAAAGTATTAAATCGGTTTTGATTGATTATTAATCTCGGTCCCTTCTGTTATTAAAGTTGCAGTTTCTCTTGCGTTATATATATGTGGTATTTGGAAACCCCATGTTCTCCTCCATTTAATAGATATTAAAGTTGCCCTTGGATTTAAATAAGCAAAGTAAATTATACAAACTAATTCCTAAAATTTATTACTGAAGTTCCTATTACCCGGGAGTCCCATGTTTACTGATACCTTGCCTTCCTGGGGGATCGGTGATAGACACATTCAGGTATGGTTGATCGGGAAGGTGGTGGCAGTGATTTAATGGTTTTTCAATGTTAGTTATAAATTGATAACCCCTATTCTTGTGGTGTCCCCCTGTTTAATATTCAGCTTATATTCGTGGCAGTCCAGTGAGGGGTCATACTGGACTGTAACAGTGTTAAGCTGGGGTATTGAGTGAAGAAGAAGGAGGGAAGGAAAGATTCTTTGAAGCCAGATTTAGGGGTATTACACTCACAACATAATAGTCCTGTGGGAACACTGCATTTGCTGTGGTTTTCGTTAGCTTTGTTTCTGTTAATGCTATTATGTCTGGGTTTTCTTCAAGTACCCAATCTCCAAGTTCATTGGTTTTATTTGTAATCCCATCTATGTTAGTGTACACTGCCATGAGACTCCCTTTCTTCTGTCTCTTCTCATGTTCCCTTCTTGGTGAGTGTTCTACTGATGGGGGAAGCTGTTCCATGGGTGTGAGGATTTGTGGGGCGGATAACAGGGTCTCAGAGGATACTGTAGTGAGGGATGAAAGGGAGACAGGGAAGGTTTGGGATGAAGGTACACACATTTACTATGTACTCACCTAGTTGTACTCACCTAGTTGTACTCACCTAGTTGTACTCACCTAGTTGTGTTTGCGGGGGTTGAGCTCTGGCTCTTTGGTCCCGCCTCTCAACCGTCAATCAACAAGTGTACAGATTCCTGGGCCTATTGGGCTCTATCATATCTACACTTGAAACTGTGTATGGAGTCAGCCTCCACCACATCACTTCCTAATGCATTCCATTTGTCAACCACTCTGACACTAAAAAAGTTCTTTCTAATATCTCTGTGGTTCATTTCGGCGCTCAGTTTCCACCTGTGTTCCCTTGTGCGTGTGCCCCCTTGTGTTGAATAGCCTGTCTTTATCTACCTATCAATTCCCTTTAGAATCTTGAATGTCGTGATCATGTCCCCCCTAACTCTTCTGTCTTCCAGCGAAGTGAGGTTTAATTCCCGTAGTCTTTCCTCGTAGCTCATACCTCTCAGCTCGGGTACTAGTCTGGTGGCAAACCTTTGAACCTTTTCCAGTTTAGTCTTATCCTTGACTAGATATGGACTCCATGTTGGGGCTGCATACTCCAGGATTGGCCTGACATATGTGGTATACAAAGTTCTGAAGGATTCTTTACACAAGTTTCTGAATTCCGTTCGTATGTTGGCCAGCCTTGCATATGCCGCTGATGTTATCCTCTTGATATGGGCTGCAGGAGATAGGTCTGGTGTGATATCAACTCCCAAGTCTTTTTTTTTCTCTGACTCCTGAAGAATTTCCTCTCCAAGATGATACCTGGTATCTGGCCCTCCTGCTCCCTACACCTATCTTCATTACATTACATTTGGTTGGGTTAAACTCTAACAACCATTTGTTTGACCATTCCTTCAGTTTGTCTAGGTCTTCTTGAAGCCTCAAACAGTCCTCTTCTGTCTTAATCCTTCTCATAATTTTGGCATCGTCAGTAAACATTGAGAGAAATGAATCTATACCCTCCAGATCATTTACATTTATCAGAAACAAGATAGGACCGAGAACAGAGCCCTGTGGGACTCCACAGGTGACTTCACGCCAATCTGAGGTCTCACCCCTCACCGTAACTCTCTGCTTCCTATTGTTTAGGTACTCCCTTATCCACTGGAGCACCTTACCAGCTACACCTGCCTATCTCTCCAGCTTATATACCAGCCTCTTATGCGGAACTGTGTCAAAGGCTTTCCGACAATCCAAGAAAATGCAGTCCGCCCAGCCCTCTCTATCTAGCTTAATATTTGTCACCTGGTCGTAGAATTCTATTAAGCCTGTCAGGCAAGATTTACCCTCCCTGAACCCATGTTGGCGATTTGTCACGAAGTCCCTTCTCTCCAGATGTGCTACCAGGTTTTTTCTCACGATCTTCTCCATGACCTTGCATGGTATACAAGTTAAGGACACTGGCCAGTAGTTCAGTGCCTCTTGCCTGTCGCCCTTTTTGTATATTGGGACCACATTCGCCGTCTTCCATATTTCTGGTAGGTCTCCCGTCTCCAGTGACCTTTTATACACTATGGAGAGTGGCAAGCAAATGTGTGTGTCTGTGTTTATAAGTGTGTATGTGTTTATGTGTAGTGGGTGAATGTGTTTGTGTAATGGGTGTGTATGTGGGGTGTGTATGTGGGGGGTCTAGGGAGGGATATGAGAGGGAGAGGAGAGAGAGAGAGAGAGGGGGGGGGAGTGAGTGTGAGTTCTTGTGTGCGTGCGTGTGCGCGCGTGGGTATGCGCTCGTGAGTGTGTTTGAGTGTTTATATGTATGTGTTTGTTGTGTATGTGTGTTTGTGTGTGCGTACTCAGCTAGTTGTACCCACCTAGTTGTGTTTGCAGGGGTTGAGCTCTGCCTCTTTGGTCCCGCTTCTGAACTGTCAATCAACTGGTGTACAAGTTCCTGAGCCTACTGGGCTCAATCATATCTAGATTTAAAACTGTGTATGGAGTCAGCCTCCACCACATCACTGCCGAATGCATTCCATCTGTTAACTACTCTGACACTGAAAAAGTTCTTTCTATCGTCCCTGTGGCTCATTTGGGTACTCAGTTTCCACCTGTGTCCCCTCGTTTGCATACTACTCGTGTTAAACAGTTTATCTTTATCTATCCCTGTCAATTCCTCTCAGAATTTTGTACGGAGTGATCATGTCTCCCCTTACTCTTCTGTCTTCCAGTGTGGTGAGGTGCATTTCTCGCTGTCTTTCTTCGTACCTCATGTCTCTTAGTTCTGGGACTAGTCTAGTGGCATATCTCTGAACTTTTTTAAGCTTTGCCTTGTGCTTAACAAGGTACGGGCTCCATGCTGGGGCTGCATACTCCAAGATTGGTCTTACATATGTGGTAAACAAGGTTCTGAATGATTCCTTACACAGGTTCCTGAAGGCTGTTCTGATGTTAGCCAGCCTCGCATATGTCACAGATGTTATTCTTTTGATGTGGGCTTCAGGAGACAGGGTTGGTGTGATATCAACTCCTAGATCCTTCTCTCTGTCCGTTTCATGAAGGACTTCATTTCCCATTCTGTATCCTGTGTCTGGCCTCCTGTTTCCACTGCCTAGTTTCATTACCTTACATTTACTTGGGTTGAATTTTAGTAGCCATTTGTTGGACCATTTATGCAGTCTGTCTAGGTCATCTTGTTGTCTCATACTGTCTTCCTCCGTCTTAATCCTCCTCATAATTTTTGCATCATCAGCAAACAATGAGAGGAACTATTCTATACCATCTGGATGATCACTTACATATATAAGAAACAGTATGGGTCCAAGGACTGAACCCTGCGGGACCCCACTGGTGACGTTTCGCAAATCTGAGAACTCACTGTCTTCTCTTATATACTTCCTTATCCAATGGAGTACCTTCCATTTCACTCCTGCCTGCATATCCAGCTTTTGCACTAGTCTCTGGTGTGGCACTGTGTCAAAGGCTTTCTGACAATCCAAAAATATGTAGTCTGCCCACACCTCTCATGCTTGCCTGATTCTTGTTGCCTGATCGTAGAATTCAATTAATTCTGTGAGGCATAACTTGCCATCCCTGAAACCATGTTGGTGTTATGACACAAAGTTCCTTTGCTCCAGATGTTCGACTAGCTTTTTACGCACAATTTTCACTATTAGCTTGCATGGTATGCAAGTTAGGGATAATGGCCTGTAGTTCAGTGCCTCCTGTCTATCCCCTTTCTTGTATATCGGGACTACGTTAGCTGCTTTCCAAATTTCTGGCAGTTCCCCTGTTGCCAGTGATTTGTTATACACTATGGAGAGTGGCAAGCACAGTTCTTCTGCTCCTACCTTTAGTATCCAAGGGAAGATTCCATCTGGGCCTATAGTCTTTGTCACATCCAACTTTAGTAAACACTTCCTTACTTCCCCGCTAGTAATCTCAAACTTTTCCAACTCTGTGTGTGTGCGTGTATGTGTGTCTGTGTCATAACTTACATGTATTCTATATATTCTTACTGATATGAGACATATATTAGTCTTACTGCTGTGAACTGGGGTGGGGATACGAACCCTTGACAATGAGGAGGACAGGTCTAGTGATCTTGGGGTCAGAGTTCACCTGACACTCGTACCATCCACCATCTCCAGGCTGAGCAAACTTGATGTGCAGCGTCCACTCCTCTGTGTTGGCTGGGTGCAACACCTGTGGTGTGTTAATTAATAATTATAATAATAATAATAATAGTAATATTAATAACAATAACAGTAATACTTAAAACAATGCCATACATCAGCCCATCCTGTGTTAACATTTACACAGTAGACAATTAGACAGTGGTATTCAATGTGGACAAACCAGAAAATGTTTTGTACTTATGTTGCTAATTAAACTTATCCTAGGCCTAATATCGCTATCCTAGGCCTAATATAGAATATAAGTGCTACATTAACCTGCTTGATGGGGTTCTGGGAGTTCTTCCAATCCTCCAAGCCCGGCCCAAGACCAGGCTTGACTTGTGAGAGTTTGGTCCACCAGGCTGTTGCTTGGAGCGGCCCGCAGGCCCACATACCCACCACAGCCCGGTTGGTCCGGCACTCCTTGGTGGAAACTGTCTAGTTTCCTCTTGAAGATGTCCACGGTTGTTCCGGCAATATTTCTTATGCTCGCTGGGAGGGTGTTGAACAACCGTTGACCTCTGATGTTTATACAGTGTTCTCTGATTGTGTCTATGGCACCCATGCTCTTCACTGGTTCTATTCTGCATTTTCTTCCATATCTCCCATTTGGGACCTGGCCTTCCAGTATTTTCCATGTGTATATTATTTGCTATATCTCTCGTCTCCTCTCTAGTGAGTACATTTGGAGAGCTTTGAGACGATCCCAATAATTTAGGTGCTTTATCTCGTCTATGCGTGCCGTATATGTTCTCTGTATTCCCTCTATTTCAGCAATCTCTCCTGCTCTGAAGGGGGAAGTGAGTACTGAACAGTACTAAAAACATGTTACATTAGGCCTAATACACGCTATTTGAGGCCTAGCATGGAATAATGTGCTATACTACTGGGTGACAGCCGTGCTGACAGCCTACTAATCAGGCCTACCGTACACCCTGACCGTACACCCTGACCGTACACCCTGACCGTACACCCTGACCGTACACCCTGACCGTACACCCTGACCGTACACCCTGACCGTACACCCTGACCGTACACCCTGACCGTACACCATGACCATACACCCTGACCGTACACCCTGACCGTACACCCTGACCGTACACCCTGACCGTACACCCTGACCGTACACCATGACCGTACACCCTGACCGTACACCCTGACCGTACACCCTGACCGTACACCCTGACCGTACACCCTGACCGTACACCCTGACCGTACACCCTGACCGAACACCCTGACCGTACACCCTGACCGTACACCCTGACCGTACACCCTGACCGTACACCCTGACCGTACACCCTGACCGTACACCCTGACCGTACACCCTGACCGTACACCCTGACCGTACACCCTGACCGTACACCCTGACCGTACACCCTGACCGTACACCCTGACAGTACACCCTGACCGTACACCCTGACCGTACACCCTGACCGTACACCCTGACAGTACACCCTGACCGTACACCATGACCGTACACCCTGACCGTACACCCTGACCGTACACCCTGACCGTACACCCTGACCGTACACCCTGACCGTACACCCTGACCGTACACCCTGACCGTACACCATGACCGTACACCCTGACCGTACACCCTGACCGTACACCCTGACCGTACACCCTGACCGTACACCCTGACCGTACACCATGACCATACACCCTGACCATACACCATGACTGTACACCCTGACTGTACACCCTGACCGTACACCCTGACTGTACACCATGACCGTACACCATGACTGTACACCATGACCATACACCCTGACTGTACACCATGACTGTACACCATGACTGTACACCATGACTGTACACCATGACTGTACACCATGACTGTACACCATGACTGTACACCATGACCATACACCATGATCGTACACCATGACTGTACACCATGACTGTACACCCTGACTGTACACCATGACTGTACACCATGACTGTACACCATGACTGTACACCCTGTCTGTACAGCATGACTGTACACCCTGACTGTACACCCTGACTGTACACCATGACTGTACACCCTGACTGTACACCCTGACTGTACATCATGACTGTACACCATGACTGTACACCCTGACTGTACACCCTGACTGTACACCATGACTGTACACCTTGACTGTATACCATGACTGTACACCCTGACTGTACACCATGACTGTACACCCTGACTGTACACCCTGACTGTACACCATGACTGTACACCCTGACTGTACACCCTGACTGTACACGATGACTGTACATCATGACTGTACACCCTGACTGTACACCCTGACTGTACATCCTGACTGTACACCCTGACTGTACACCAAGACTGTGCACCCTGACTGTACATCCTGACTGTACACCCTGACTGTACACCATGATTGTACATCCTGACTTTACACTCTGACTGACCCTGACTGTACATCCTGACTGTACACCCTGACTGTACACCATGACTGTACACCCTGACTGTACACCCTGACTGTACACCATGACTGTACACCCTGACTGTACACCCTGATTGTACATCCTGACTGTACACCCTGACTGTACACCATGACTGTACACCCTGACTGTACACCCTGACTGTGCACAATGACTGTACACCCTGCCTCTACACCCTGACTGTGCACAATGACTGTACACCCTGACTGTACACCATGACTGTACACCCTGACTGTACACCCTGACTGTACACCCTGACTGTACACCCTGATTGTATAACATGACAGTACTCCCTGACTGTACACCATGACTGTACACCATGACTGTACACCATGACTGTACACCATGACTGTATACCATGACTGTACACCATGACTGTACACATTGACTGTACACCCTGACTGTATACCATGACTGTACTCCCTGACTGTACACCATGACTGTACACCATGACTGTACACCATGACTGTACACCATGACTGTACTGTACTGTACATCCTGACTGCACATCCTGACCGTACACCATGATCATACACCCTGACTGTACATCCTGACTGTACACCATGACTGTACACCATGACAGTACACCCTGACTGTACACCCTGACTGTACACCATGACTGTACGCCATGACTGTAAACCATGACCATAAACCATGACTGTACACCATGACTGTACACTATGACTGTACACCCTGACTGTACACCATGACTGTACACCATGTCCATACACCATGACTATACACCCTGACTGTACACCCTGACTGTACACCCTGACTGTATACCATGACTGTACTCCCTGACTGTACACCATGACTGTACACCATGACTGTACACCATGACTGTATACCATGACTGTACACCATGACTGTATACCATGACTGTACACCATGACTGTACACCATGACTGTACACCCTGACTGTACACCCTGACTGTATACCATGACTGTATACCATGACTGTACACCATGACTGTACACCATGACTGTATACCATGACTGTACACCATGACTGTACACCATGACTGTACACCATGACTGTATACCATGACTGTACACCATGACTGTACACAATGACTGTACACCCTGACTGTACACCATGACCATACACCCTGACCATACACCATGACCATACACCATGACCATACACCATGACAATACACCATGACCATACACCATGACTGTACACCATGACCATACACCATGACCATACACCATGACCATACACCATGACCATACACCATGACTGTACACCATGACCATACACCATGACCATACACCATGACCATACACCATGACCATACACCCTGACTGTACACCATGACCATGACCATACACCATGACCATACACCCTGACTGTACACCATGACCATACACCATGACCATACACCATGACCATACACCCTGACCGTACACCATGACCATACACCCGGACTGTACACCATGACCATACACCATGACCATACACCATGACCATACATCATGACCATACACCCTGACTGTACACCATGACCATACACCCTGACTGTACACCCTGACTGTACACCCTGACTGTACACCCTGACCGTACACCATGACCATACACCATGACCATACACCATGACCATACACCATGACCGTACACCATGACCATACACCCTGACTGTACAGCATGACCATACACAATGACCGTACACCATGACCATACACCATGACCATACACCATGTCTGTACACCATGACCATACACCATGACCATACACCATGACCATACACCCTGACTGTACACCATGACCATACACCCTGACTGTACACCATGACCATACACCCTGACTGTACACCATGACCATACACCCTGACTGTACACCATGACCATACACAATGACCAATCACCCTGACTGTACACCATGACCATACACAATGACCGTACACCATGACCATACACCATGACCATACACCATGACTGTACACCATGACCATACATCATGACCATACACCATGACCATACACCCTGACTGTACACCATGACCATACACCCTGACTGTACACCATGACCATACACCCTGACTGTACACCATGACCATACACCCTGACTGTACACCATGACCATACACCATGATCGTACACCATGACCATACACTATGACCATACACCATGACCATACACCATGACCATACACTATGACCATACACCATGACCATACACCATGACCATACACCCTGACTGTACACCATGACCATACACCATGACCGTACACCATGATCATACACCATGACCATACACCCTGACTGTACACCATGACCATACACCATGACCGTACACCATGACCATACACCATGACCATACAGCACCATGACTGTACACCATGACCATACACCATGACCATACACCATGACAATACACCCTGACTGTACACCATGACCATACACCATGACCATACACCATGACCATACACCCTGACCGTACACCCTGACCGTACACCATGACCATACACCATGACCATACACCATGATCATACACCATGACCATACACCATGACCATACACCATGACCATACACCATGACCATACACTATGACCATACACATGACCATACACCATGACCATACACCATGACAATA